AAATTTACGATTAGAGCTTTTTGTTCATTTTTTAATACCCTGAGTCTGCCCACCCATCTACCACGCCTCCATTTCAGTAATTCATTTCATCTGGATAATACTGATTTTGGCAAATGACATACTCTCTAAGAAAATAGCGGGTGGGTGTCCTAGCTAGTACTTGTTAAGATTGATTTTTGTAAACGACTGAACAATGTTAAGAGTAGTCACTGGAATGAAGACTCTAGGAAAAAATTCAATTTAGCGCCGCCCAGCAACCCGTTTTCTCATTTTATCATTTTGAAACAAGAAATAAATTTTATAGCAAATAGGATAACATAATCACTTTATCTAGTCTGAATGAAAGGTGGATCTTATACTGAACAGAAATAAGATCGTTAGAATGAGAACAGGGTGGGTGGGTGGGGCTAGTATCTGCTAAACTAAGACTGATTTTCATAAATGGCTGAAAAATATTAAGAGTAATCACTGGAATGAAGAGGAGGTGGATGGCTGGAGCTATTACTTGCTTATAAAAGACTGTAGGAAAAAATTAAACTTAGCCCTGCCCACCCACCTGTTTTTCCAGCAATCTACGTTTTATTAGTTTCCATTACCACTCTACAAAAGAACACATAATTAACCCCGCCCACCCACCCCGACGCTATTTCAGTGATTCATTTTATGTAGTCAGAATTAAGTGTTGATCTTATACTGAGTAGAAATGAATTCGTTAGAATGAGAACAGGGAGGGTGGGTGGGGTTAGTACTTGCTACGATAAGATTGATTTTGGCAAATGACTTACCCTGTAAGAAAATAGAGGGCGGGTGGGCGGGGCTAATATTTGCTAAGAGGAGACTCATTTTGGGAATTGCCATACCCTCTAAGAAATTAGAGGGCGGATAGGCGGTGCTAGAATTTGCTAAGATAAAACTTAACACCATTAAGACCAGTCACTGAACTGAAAAAAGGGTGCGTGGGCGGGGCTACTGCTTGCTCATAAAACTAGAAAAAACTAAATTTAGCCCCGCCCACCTCCTTTCTCTATTTCACTGACTTATTTTATTTAGTGTAAAATGGAAATTGAAAAAACAACAATATTGTAATGTCAAAATTTTCTGGGAACATGGAGTGAGTCGTTCCTGATGTAATCAATAAAATAAATTGACTAATGAATTCATTTTTTTTAATGCAATGATAAATCATAAGTAAAAACTTATCCTATTTTGCACATTTTGGGTAGAATTTATTCAGTCTTGGGAGCCCCTAGTGTCTGTTTTTTGGAAGTACCTTTGTGTCTTGTTTTTAAAAGAGTTTGAAACAGAGTCTTGAAGACCCTTCGTGTCTTGTTTTTAAAAGGGTTTGAAATATTTTGGAGGCTATTAGTGCCTTTTTTTTAAATGTAGAATCTTGCGGGCCCCAAGTACCTTTTTCTTTAAGAATGTAAAAAAAACTCGGAAGTTCCTGCTTTCTTCTTTTTAAAAGAGTCTGAAATAACCTTAGGAAGTTCCCCTGTATTTTTTTTAATGTGTGAAAAAATGTTCGGGTCCCTTGCGTTTTGTTTTTGAAAGATTTTCAAATAGTCTTGGGAGCCCCTAGTATATTTTTTTTGGAAGTCCCTTTGTGTCTTCTTTTTAAAAGAGTTTGAAACAGAGTCTTGAAGACCCTTAGTGTTTTGTTTTTAAAAGAGTTTGAAATATCTTGGAGGCTATTAGTGCCTTTGTTTTTAAATGTAGAATCTTGCGTTCCCCAAGTACCTTTTTCTTTAAGAATGTAAAAAAATAGTGGGAGTCCCTGGTGTCTTCTTTTTAAAAGAGTTTGGAACAATCTTAGGAGGTCCCACTGTGTTTTTTTAAAGAGTGTGAACAGATTTTGGGGTTCCTTGCGTTTTGTTTTTGAAAGATTTTCAAATAGTCTTGGGAGCCCCTAGTATTTTTTTTTGGAAGTCCCTTTGTATCTTCTTTTTAAAAGAGTTTGAAACAGAGTCTTGAAGACCCTTAGTGTTTTGTTTTTAAAAGAGTTTGAAATATCTTGGAGGCTATTAGTGCCTTTGTTTTTAAATGTAGAATCGTGCGGGCCCCAAGTACCTTTTTCTTTAAGAATGTAAAAAAATCGTGGGAGTCCTTGGTGTCTTCTTTTTAAAAGAGTTTGGAACAATCTTAGGAGGTCCCACTGTGTTTTTTTAAAGAGTGTGAACAGATTTTGGGGTCCCTTGTGTTTTGTTTTTGAAAGATTTTCAAATAGTCTTGGGAGCCCTTAGTATTTTTTTTTGGAAGTCCCTTTGTGTCTTCTTTTTAAAAGAGTTTGAAACAGAGTCTTGAAGATCCTTCGTGTCTTGTTTTTAAAAGGGTTTGAAATATTTTGGAGGCTATTAGTGCCTTTTTTTTAAATGTAGAATCTTGCGGGCCCCAAGTACCTTTTTCTTTAAGAATGTAAAAAAAAACTCGGAAGTTCCTGGTTTCTTCTTTTTAAAAGAATCTAAAACAACCTTAGGAAGTTCCAGTGTATTTTTTTTTAATGTGTGAAAAAATGTTTGGGTCCCTTGTGTTTTGTTTTTGAACGAATTTGAAACAATCTGTGTGTTTTTTTTAAGAAAATCAAAAAATCTTTGAGGCCCTTAGAATCTTTTTTCCATGAATGTGCATAAAATTTAAGGGCCCTTGATCTTAATTTTGAAATAATTCTAAAAAATCCAGAGGACCTTTATCTAAAAAAGGTTAAAGGGACTTTAAAAGTTGTTGCTCGTTTTTTATACCGGGTGTCTGGAAAATGGCGGCTAGTAGCTGCTAAGATAAAACTGATTTTGGCAAATGACATACCCTCTAAGAAAAGGGAGGGTGGGTGGGCGGGGCTAGTACTTGCTAAGATAAGACTGATTTTGGCAAATGACATACCGTCTAAGAAAAGAGAGGGTGGGTGGGCGGGGCTAGTTCCTGCTAAGATAAGACCGATTTTGGAAAATGGCATCATTATAACTTCACCAAAATGCGAGAAGGATTTTTTTACTATTTTTCCCATACTCACTAGTTGAGTAGAGCGTAGCGGAGAGTCAATCCGCCATTTTACCGACACTAGTACTAGCCCCGCCCACCCACTCTCTCTTTTCTTAGAGAGTATGTCATTTGCCAAAATCATTCTTATCTTAGCAGGTACTAGCCCCGCCCACCCACCCTCCCTTTTCTTAGACGCTATGTCATTTGCCAAAATCAGTTTTATCTTAGCAGGCACTAAACCCGCCCACCCACCCTCTCTTGTCTTAGAAGGTATGTTATTAGCCAATATCAGTCTTATCTTAGCAGGTAGCTTAGCTATTACTTGCTAAGATGAGACTGATTTTGTCAAATAACCCTTTGCGAAAATAAATGGCGGGTGGGCGGGGCTTGAATTTGCCAAAATAAAATTTTTCGAAATATTCTGTTTCAGATTTTTTAAATATGTCAAAATTTGTTTTATTACATTCATTTTTGAGATTCAGAAGTCGTAGGAATTTTCGAAGAAATAACTCTCCGCCCCCAATTTTCCGGATGTGCTCTGATCCCAGACCCAGATTTTCGAAACATCAAATTCAAATCCCAAAAATTACTTTATGTCATTTTGGCGATTTTCCAGAAAAGGTAGGGATTTTCGAAAAAATGAAGTCAAAAAAAATATAGAAATTGAAGGCAATAGTGTCTTTTACTAATTTTCAAAAGTACTATTGTCCAAGATTTTGTCAATATTCTGTTCAAATTTAAATTTTTTAAATAACCCAAAATTTGTCTTGTTTCATTCATTTTGCAGAATCTTCAAAAATGATAGGAATTTTCTAAGAAATAATGCCAAAAAAATCTGAAAGTCGAAATTAGTGGAAGAATATAATATGCAAAAATTTATGTGTTTAAATGTTGTGTGTGCACACACTAATGTATCTTGGACTGAAACACTGATCTTGAGAGTCTGCTGAAGTACAAAAAAATAACGCTTAGAATGCGAGCGCAGCGAGCATGTACAGACATTATTAAAAATAATTCACGGTTGTAAAAAAATTTGGTTGCTAAAGTTGGGTAGCATTAATTCTAAAAATATGAATGCTTTGGGAAACTACAAGTACAGCTCCGCCCACCCACCCCTTCTTCGTCCCAGTGACTACTCTTAATACTGTTCAGTCCTATCTTAGCAAGTTTTAGCCCCGCCCACCCACCCTTTTTTTTCTTAGAGGATATGTCATTTACTAACAACAATCTTATCTTAACAAGTACTAGAGCCGCCCACCCGCCCTCTATTTTCTTAGAGGGTATGTCGTTTGCCACAGTCAGTCATTTTTTAAAAACGTATTTCTTTGTCAATTGCACAGTGTGCATCGAAATTTTTAGTGAGCGAGTTTTCTTTTTTAACTTAGTTTTAAAACCGACAAGTGGTAGTTGTAAATAAAATTATTTTTTAAAAAAAGAAATACACTGCCCTACAAAAAACTCGGACACTTGAATATTTGTAAATTTACGCTAAAGTTTAGTGTTACAATTTTTTTTACTCTTTTTCTGTTTCCACATGTTCTAGAATAAGTTATGTTTTCTATTAATGAATACATTAATGATTTGCTTTTTGAAATATTTTTTCCAAAAATTTGATTAGTTGCAGGTAATCACAAAAAAAAAAATTAAAATCTTAAACTCGCGCGATATTTCGGATAGTGCATATTATATACATATATATTGAAATGATGCCATTTATGCGCTGTCGGAGAGATCGTTCGACTTTAAATATTCGTGACCGAGCGAAAAAGCTTATTAATGATTGTTTCTATTTTTCAAACATAATGGTTTGTTTTAAATAATGTCCCCTTCATTTTTTATTTTAGGGGAACTTTCAAAATTTCTTTTGCTGGTCTACCTAAATTTTTCAGTTGTCTTAAAATTCTCAAAATACGTATCCCACTTTTATATGTGTATACCGAACGAAACATTTATTTTTGAACTTATTAATTTGTAAATTTTTTAGCGTGCGTTTATTAATACATAACTAGAATTTCAAGAAAAAATACCTCTTTTGGATTCGACCGCGTGTACAGCAAGAACCTCGTGTTGATCACACGCCTGGGCAGAGGGAACAGATTTATAGGCCTCAGAATCAAATGGTACCAACTCCTCGTAATATTCAAGCAACCCAAATCGTCGTAGCACCTTGTTTCGTTTTCAACTGCAACAACAAATTTAAATAAATGAAAGTTATCAAAGAAAACTATAAACATTGTGGCGCCATGCAAATTTGACTGAAAGCACTAAAAAAAAACCGTGAAAGTACTTACAAGGTAGCCAAGGTAAGTTTACGTCGATATTATCCGATTTAGCCCAATCCAGAATCCCGGAGTTGACCACTCGCAGCGTCAGCAGTACCACAGCGAGCGCGCGAAGGCATCTCAGTACCATCTTCCTGGTACTAACTGGGGTCGTTCTTTCGGCGGCTGGGTACTTTGAAAGGCATGGATCCGAGGTTTAGTGGCCGCTAATGAACACGATCTGCAAGAGAAGATGGCTTGAGAAGGTTTGATCTTGAACCGCAGTACTGAGGCACCAGTTCCAGTGGAATAAGAGTGGTGGTACTCGCGCTGCTAATGATCTTCAAATTTGTAACCTTTCTCAATGTGTTTGCTGGTTACACAAGACAACGGCATTGGGTTATGTAAGAAAGAGATTCAGTGAAAAGCTTTCACTAACACAATTATTGGCCACGGCTAGCGGTGAAAAAATGTTCTAGTTTTCAGCGTGATGATGCTCAAACGAGACGTTAGATTAGCATTTTTAATTTATCGCCTTGTTTGTTTGGAGCGGATTTTTACGATGGACGTAGTCTGTTTTAGAGAGAGTTCCGAATTAAAGTTTTATTTACGTATGTAAACTAGAAACTCATGGATATAAATTCTGATTTTCATCTACGGTTTTTGTTTGTGATATAAATTGTTTGGAACAAGTGATTGTGGGTGGAGATAATAACTATTGATTCATCACTGTGTTTAGCATTCTTTTGTTTTTATTTTTATCTGTTGATGTAATAATACATCATTTTATTATCTGACGAGAGTGATTCATATAATGCGTAGTACTTGTTTGTTTCTAAAAATTCTTTTATTATGAATGTGAATACAAAAGAAGTGTTTTAAAAGTTTTAAACTTTTTCTTTGGTCGCCGCTGTTGAACAAAATTCTCTAGGAATTGAGTACATCCACATACCTCAATTACATCTTTTGTTGTTATGATGAGAAAATTGAGTGTCATTTTCTGTGAAAAACGTACTTGAATTTTTCAGTTTTTAGATTGTGGAATTTTTTGATTTGAGTTTCTCGAGTTTTCGATTTTTATTTAATTTTTCGATTTGTAATTTTCTTCATTTTTTCAAATGTTCGATTTTTCAGTGTTTCGATGTTATAATTTACTGTTTTTTCATTGTAATTTTTTCAATTTCGTTTCTTCAATTTTTCAATTTGCGATTTTTCATTTTTCTTTTTCTTGTTTCTTCAATTTTTAGTTTTCCGATTTTTCAATATTTTTTTTCATTGTAATTTTTTCAATTTTTCGTTTCTTCAATTTTTCGATTTGCAGTTTTGCAATTTAGCTTCTCGAGCTTTTATTTCTAAATTTTTCAGTTTTTCGATTTTTCAATTTTTTGATGTTTTAATTTTTAGATTTTGCAATTTTTCGATTTGCAATTTCACGAGTTTGGATCTATTAATTTTTCATTTCTTCAATTTCCGAATTGCAAATTTTTCCTTCCGGAGGTGCTTGATTTTTTCAGTTTTTCGATTTGCAATTTTTTGGTTTTCAGTTTCTTAATTTTTCAATTTTTAGATTTTTTAATTTTTCGTTTTTTCAATTTTAGGTTTTCAGTTTCCCGATTTTTCAATTCTTTTCTTCAATTTTTGATTTGCAATTTTTCTAGTTTTCATTTTAAATGTGTATAATTATAATTTCTAAAATTTTTCACTTTTTCAATTCTACTATTTTAGAATTTTTCAATTTTTCGATTATTGGATTTTAAAACTTTTGATTTTTTCGATTTTTCCATTTTTAATTTTTCAATTTTTCAGATTTTCGATCTTTCAGTGTTGCAGTTTTTCGGCTTTACAATTTTGATGATTCTATGATTTTTCTTTTTACAATTTTTGGGTTTTCTAATTTTTCGATGCAATTCGTTTTTTCTTTTTTCCAATGTTTCGATTCAATCTTTTGTTAGTTTCTTTTGCAATTTTTCGATTTTTCAACTTTTTGATAAAAAATGGAAAAATTGCAACTGTAAATAACTGTAAATAAAAAGTAAAAAGAGTAAAATAAAAATTTTGAAAAATATCAAAATGACAAAAAGAAAATACCTATGTATTATAAAATCGAAAAATTGAAATTTAAAAATATCGGAAAATCGGGGAACTGAGAAGTCCAAACATTGCAAAATTAAAAAATAAAAAACCGAGAAACCGAGGAGTTAAGAAATCAAAGATTGAAAATTTCAAAAATGGAAAGAAACATTGAAAAAAAAAGGAAATTCGATAACAATCGGTGGAGTAGTTTCGGAGATTTTGTGTGTAATATTTTTTTTTATTTATTAATAATAATAACAGGACAATGTAATAATACATAAATGAAAATACAACACTACAAAACAAAAATTAACTAATTTTAAAATACGTAGGTCACTTAGGATTCTTCAAGTCGAAATTGTCTTTTTATCCGGACAGACGGCAGACAGACAGACAGTAAAAATTACACAAAGAACAAGGAGTTATGGTTCTACATAACATTTTCTAGCACACTTACCGGTATTCTTGTGAGCTATTAAAATTAAGAAAAGATAATTATTTAGTTCCATTCAAAAAAATGAAATGGAGTTTATAATTTATTCTTCTTCGTTTTTAACTGTATGCATCCAAGGTTCATCACATTCTCTTCCTTATTTTGGTTTATGTCGCTCTCTGTTTTCGACCATTCATCTTCAGGGATTATTAGTGCAAACAGTATTCCTAAATAATAAGTATTCTTTTAAAATTGTTATATATTTTTAGGTTTATCATTTATAACTCTATAGTTTAGCCTCACATTGTCTACTTTGTTTAGCATGTATAAATTTAACTCTTCTAGTCTTCTGTCTCCAAAAATGAACGACTACATTTTAGTATGAATAATAGTTGATACGTTTCGACGATTTTTGTTTGATGTGTGACGACGTGCAGCATAGCATGCTACTTTACCTGTAGTTTAACCGTTCACCTCTATTTTTAACTTTACTTACATGGGTTGACCCAAAGTTACGACCATTAAATTGTACTTTGTATCATTGTCAGACGTTACGTAACACGATACACTTACACGTGTTACGTAACAAACTACCTCGAAATTTTGGTAACACGTTAAAATTCTTTATAAATTATTCAATACGTATAGTTACAGTTTTATTTTTTATAAATGTTTATGCCGGAAAAATACTTAAGTGAGGTATGTCTTCGATTAAGACAGAAACTGTTTATCCAAGAACACAATGATTCCAATGTTACTGAAATAATGACGTCAACTCAAAAATTTAAGTATCTAAATGTGGTCTGACTTAAAAAAAATACAATTAGGAACCTCGAGAAGGCTTCACATTCTTAAAAAAAAAACATTTGGCGCCCCCGATAAGGTTTCACATTTTTAAAAAAAACATTTGGCGCCCCCGAAAAAGTTTCACCTCCTTCAGTTGGTAGTGGTTGGTACCCGTGAAAAGGTTTCACATTATTAAAAAAAAGGCAGTGCGAAGCCCCAAGAAGGTTTTATATTCTTAAAAAAAAGACACTTGGGGTCCTGGAGAAGGTTTCGCCTTCTTAAAGAAAAGACAGTTGGGACTTCCGAGGACGTTTCACATTCTTAAAAAAAAACAGTTGGGGTCCCTAGAAGGTTTCACCTTCTTGAAAAAAAGGAAGTTGGGACCACCGATATTGTGTCACATTCTAAAAAAAAGATAGTTAGAACTCCCGAGAAGGTTTCACCTCCTTCAGTTGGTGTCCTTGAGAAAGCTTCACATTTTTAAAAAAAAGACAGTTTGGGGCCCCGAGAAGGTTTTATATTCGTAAAAAAAGACACTTGGGGTTTTCGAAAAGGTTTCGCCTTCTTAAAGAAAAGACAGTTGAGACATCCGATAAGGTTTCACATTCTAAAAAAAACTAGTTGGGGGCCCGTAGAAGGTTTTACCTTCTTGAAAAAAAAATAGTTGGGGTCGCCGAGAAGGTTTTATATTCTTAAAAAGACCGTTGAGACCACCGAGAATGTGTCACATTCTGAGAGAGTTAGAGCCCCTGAGAAGGTTTCACCTGCTTCAGTTGGTACCCTTGAGAAGGTTTCGCCTTCTTAAAAAAAAGACAGTTGGGACCTTCGGGAAGGTTTCACATAAAAAAAAAACAGTTGGGGCCCCCTAGAAAGTTTTACCTTCTTGAATAAAAGAAAGTTGGGGTCCCCGAGAAGGTTTCGTCTTCTTAAAAAAAAGACAGTTGGGACCTCTGAGAAGGTTACACATTCTTAAAAAAAAACAGTTGGGAGTCCCTAGAAGGTTTTACCTTCTTGAAAAAAAGGCAGTTGGGGTTCCCGAGAAGGTTTCGTCTTCTTAAAAAAAAGACAGTTATCACCACCGAGAAGGTTTCACATTCTTGAAATAAACAGTTGGGGGTCCCTAGAAGGTTTCACCTTCTTGAAAAAAGAAAGTTGGGGTCTCCGAGAAGGTTTTACCTCTTTCAGTTGGTACCCTTGAGAAGATTTCACATTTTTTAAAAAAAAAGACAGTTGGGAGCCCTGAGAAGATTTTGTATTCTTAAAAAAAAGGACACTTGGGGTCCCCGAGAAGGATTCGCATTCTTGAATAAAAAACAGTTGGGACCTCCGAGAAGGTTTGACATTCTTAAAAAAAAAATAGTTGGGGGTCCCTAGAAGGTCTTACTTTCTTGAAAAAAAAGAAAGTTGGGGTCCCCGAGAAGGTTTTACCTCCTTCAGTTGGTACCCTTGAGAAAGTTTCACATTCTTAAAAAAAGACAGATGGGAGCCCCGAGAAGGTTTTATATTCTTAAAAAAAAGGACACGTGGGGTCCCCGAGAAGGTTTTATTTTCTTGAAAAAAAGACACTTTGTATACCCGAGAAGGTTTCGCCTTCTTAAAAAAAGATAGTTGGGACCCTCGAGAAGGTTTGACATTCTAAAAAAAAACAGTTGGGAGTCCCTAGAAGGTTTTACCTTCTTGAAAAAAAGAAAGTTGGGGCCCCCGAGGTTTTACCTCCTTCAGTTGGTACCCTTGAGAAAGTTTCACATTCTTAAAAAAAAGACAGTTGGGAGCCCCGAGAAGGTTTTATATTCTTAAAAAAAGGACACTTGGGGTCCCCGAGAAGGTTTTACTTTCTTGAAAAAAAGACACTTTGGGTCCCCGAGAAGGTTTCGCCTTCTTAAAAAAAGATAGTTGGGACCCCCGAGAAGTTTTGACATTCTAAAAAAAACAGCTGGGGGCCCCTGGAA